GGCGTCCGAGCTTGTAGCGTGCTTCCTTGGTGCAGGAATGTCGCTGCACCTCTCTGCATCCCGCCCACCACTGGCAGACACGGCCGCAGGCTCGCAACGCTCTATAGAGGTCGTGACGACGTCCTAGCCTCCTTCATCTTCGGAGGTGCTCGCCTCGCCACCTAGCTCTATCGGCTCCTCTGACTCGAGCTCCGCCTCCACGTCTATCTGATTTTCACCGGCCCGCACCCGCCGGGCGACCTCCTTCTCCTTCTCATGCCTCCTCTGAGCCTTCTCAGCTCTCTTCTTCTTCTTCTCGACCACCGCCTCCTTCAGGGCAGCTTGCCGAGCCATGCCCTCCGGAACCTTTGGGAGATGCTGCCGGGATTTATAACCGGTGAGTCCCTACAAAATAGACGACTCGAAGTCAAAATACAAGAGAACAAAAGGGGAAAAGGACATGGAATAAGGAAAGGGAAGCATACCAAATTGGACAACTTCTCGGCATGAAGAGGTCCGAGCTTTCCTTCAAGGGTCTCTTTGGCCCTTAGTTGCAGCACCCGGTCGAGTTGGCTCCAGACTTCGTCCTTCGCCAATTCCTCCGGCAACGCGCGGTCGGGGTCCATTGGGCCGAAGTACATCCACATCGCCCGCGTCCTTCCCGCCAGCGGGGTGACCCGACGGTGGAAGAAGGTGTGGAACATCCGTAGCCCATCGAGGCCGTGCTACACCAGCTTCTGGAGCTCCGCCCTGATGATCTTTGGCTTGCTCTGCCGGCTGGAAGGGCCCCACGACCAGCTCTCCGCCTCTCCGGCCTTCTACCGGTGAACGGCGGGAATGGCGCCTCTGCTGGGTTCCTGATGTAGAACCACTCCCCATGCCACCCCCGATTGGAGTCGCAGGGGGTGTACGGGGGGTAGGAACCCGACGAACTTGGCTTCTTCTACAACGCAAAGCCCCCAACTGGCGCAGTCCTGGCCGACTTCCCCTCCAACAAGGCTCGCCTGGTGAAGATCCGTCAGAAGAGGTCCATGTGCGGCTCCATCCCGAGGAAGGCCTCATAGATAGTCACGAAGCTGGTGACATGCAGCGCCCCAGTCAGATTGAGGTGCTATAGCTCTAGGCCCCACTCATTGAGGAGCCCGCGCAGGAACCAGTGTGTGAGATATCCTAGCCCGCGCTCATGGAAGGCGAGGAAGGAGATATCCTCGCTGGTCTGAGGTCGCGGAAAAGCCTCCCCCGCAGGGGCCCTCTAGTGCGCCACCTCCTTCGGTGGAAGCAGCCCCTTCTCGGCGAAGGCGGCCAGCACCGCCTCATCCACATTGGATGGCCTCCAGCTTGACATCGTGCTTCGAACTCGCAAAACAGATCTGTGAGTTCTCCTCTCCCTCGCTCTACCCTCTTTTCTCCTAGGAACCGCCGCGGCACACGAATGCGCTTGGCAAGAACGAAGAAGGAGGAGAGGCAGTAGTTGGAGAATAGGCAAAGGAATGGGACGAAAGCCCTCTCCCTTCCCCTATTCAATGCAGATGGGAATGCGACGGGACATGTCCTGACTTATGGGATACCGCCCTGCCCAACGAGACAGCGCCTGGTTAGACGGGACGTGGCCTGGGCATGGCCCACCACTACCGCACGCCGGGCATGGGAAACAAGGCGCAACCGCACATAGGTGGCCCACCACCTTCCCAGGCAGGGCTTGGAAGGGCCCAACAACAGGATCTCCGCCAAGGAGAGACCAACGGGCTTCCTGAGTCAATCGAACAGCTCAAGCGAATGTCGATAGACAGGTAAGGAGTAGAGGGATGCCCCATGCGGGCTATGCCGTCTCCATCATGAACGGTGGACATGGATCCCGGTTGGACACATCTGACAAGAGCGCCTCAAACCTGTCACTCGAGTCATCAAGGTAACTTTACCAAAACCTTTTATTTCATTTATTTGCATGATCATTCATTCATCATTTCTCATACACACATTCATCCATGCACGCATTCATTCATTCATCCCATGCATCCAAAGCATCACATATGTAGTTGATGCATCACAACATTTCATGTTGCGTCACGAAGTGATAGTTGCCTCATTCAACATGAGCAACGACCGACCGGGGTTCAAAGGCCGGCCCGTGAAGGGCTTGAGGCCGCCTCGCGTCAAATAGAGGTAGGAGAGAAAACATAGATGAGTCCCAGCGGCCCTCACCCGATATGCTCAGAAGCAGACAGGGTCATCTCAACCTTCTTGTTCGATCTTAACCTCGAGCCATGCCCACATAATCTCCATCGAGAGGAGGCCAGCGGGCCACCTGGGTCGGTCTCTGGAATGACCCGGGCATCTGCCGGGACGCTGGTTAAGGAGCAGTGGAATGCCACATGAGGACTATACCGACCCCGTCACGAACGACGGACCCGAATTTCACTCGAATGTGCTCGTTAGCGAGCTCACCGAGCGTGTCACTCGAGCCATCGAGGCAAGCGATGTTAGCTTAGACCCTCCGGTTGCGGAAACCATGGACAGGGTAACGCACGAAACTCAACCGACCCCTACCGAGCCCAACGGGGCTCAGGGGTTCGGGACGCCCAACCCCTCGGCGCGCCCGATGGCTGCGCCTGATGCCTAGGTCCGCGAGTCTGTCTCGCTTGATCCCTCAGCTGTCCCTCGGCTACGCCCGACTCCTAGGTCTACAACTCCATCTCGCCCGATCCCTCGGCTGTCCCTCGGCTGCGCTCGACGCCTGGATCTGTGACTCCGATTCGCCCGATCCCTCGACCGCGCCCAAATGCCTGGGTCCGCGCTCTTAGAAACGATGGATCAGAAACTGGAAAGAGGAGGCTACGCCCACTAAGGTGCACTCGCACACTCCCGCTGACAAAACCCCCTAGGCGATTCTGCCCAAATCACCCGGGGCTTGGGGGCTACACCCACCGGGTGCGCTCGCTCGCATCCGCTGGCAAAACGAAAAATTCCCCCGTTGGCAAGTCGAAAAATCCCCCAGGCGATTCTACCTAAATCGCCCGGGGCTTGGGGGCTTCTGACTCCGGCCTGTGTCTCGGACCGGAAGGCCTGGTCAGGGAGGGGCGACCCTTGCTTTCGACTCTGACCCGTGTCTCCGACCGAAAGGCCTGGGCAAGGAGGTGGCGACCCTCGCTTCCGACTCCGACCCGTGTCTCTGACCAAAAGGCCTGGCCAAGGAGGGGAGGACGTCTGCTTCCGACTCTGACTCGCTCCTTCGACCGAAAGGCCTGGCCAACGCTCACTTCTGACTCCGACCCGCTTCTCCGATTGGGGATACACCGAGCTCTGCTTACAACTCTTCTCCAACCGGCGCAATCGGAGCCGACTAGGGACCGACCGACTAGGGATGCCTGCTCAGTGAGGACCCAAGAGACAAGCAGAGCAAGTAAGGCAGGGCACTCAAGTCAACCACAATACCGAGGACCGTACCCTGCACATCTGCAGGATAGTACCGATAGGACATGTCAGAAGGGTGCTCTACAACCCTCCAGGCATTTCAGAACCCAAGCAGTGTTGTGGGCGCCATCAATTTCCCTTCCAGGCGAACACGGTAAAACCTTCCACATGTATCTGACATAAACAATGTTGCGGGCGCCAACGACCATCTTGTACCCGACAGCGTGGGCAACAAGACTTAGTAGCATACATACACACGCTCTCTCTCTCACTTGTAAGGCCGTTCCCTTCATCTATAAAAGGGGATGCTCTCTCTCCCAACAGAGGACGATCAATTCAACACACAACAACAGAACCACTAGGCTTGAACCTCGAGCACATAGTTGAGCAGCAACCTAGCTCTCAGCGTCCATTCGACCTTTCCATCAGAGACTTGGGACCTGTCCCTCTCTCGCCCGTTTGTAACCCCACATCAAACTTTGAGCACCTGGGCTCAGGAATAAAGTCACCGACCGACTCAAACTGGACGTAGGGCACGTTGCCTGAACCAGTATAAACCCTATGTCATTGAGTGCTAGGCCACATCCGATCACAACGTATGATAAAACGACAAATATTTACTAGTTGATCACTTTTCTCACCGACACCATGTTTCTCACTTGTTTGGTCGATGGTTAGAAGGTTTCAGTAAATTAAACCTCTACTTATGCTTGGAGCGGGTGCCACTTGGTCACTTTGGCTAAGTAGAAAAATATTGTATTTGAAAAGAAAAAACATAATTTTCTTGTGTAGATTATTTATTCAGTCATCCACTAGCTATGTACTTGGGCTATTCTACATAAGGTGGCTTCTCAAGACTTGGTTGTGGTGGTCTCGCAGCTGTTGGCGCATGTAGCCAAGGATATTTTCTCATGGACACATGTGTGGCGATCTAATCTACGAATTGATAGTCACTAGAATGTGCCAATCTCCGTTTATTTCTGTGGTTGCGTGCCTCTTTATTGGGCAAATGTCAGAAGTACATTTTCAAGGTTTTTTATCATCTTGATGTAACGCTTTGAGAATTTAATAAAAGCTTGTTTATAAAAAAGGCAGGACTTAATCACGTGTTAAGTTTTTTTTTGAGAAAACCGGGATTGTATTTCACATGTATAACATATGGTTTACATTGCAACCCTTACAAAGGCACCCTTGAAGAAAAGAAAAATTACACTTTGGTCCATACATGGGTCTCCCGGTCGTCTTCGTCGCCGAACCCTTCTCGATGAAGAAACAAAAAAGTTTTCCATTGCCACGATCAGTAGTGAAAGGACCGAGGATGCCGCCTAGAGGGGGGGGGTGAATAGGCGTTTCTAAAATTTAACCCTTCAAAATGCGGAAACAATTAGTGTTGGAGTTTCCAAATACTTGGTAGTGTTGGAGTTAGAAATAAACCCCTCATGAGTTAGCCAACAGAGAATACAAGATATAGAGAATAAATCTAGGAGCTACCACCCTGTAACAAACAAGTTAGTGCAACAAGTGAATGAATTCCTACACTTTCCTGGTGAAATGGTTCGAGAGGTTCCCAAAGTACCAGTACCGCGATTTCTACATTGCCGGCGAGAGCTATGGAGGTCAGTACGTAGTATTTTTGTTAATGCAGTACGAGCCTGTTTGGACGAAGGAGATTTGTTTGTTTGTTTCGGAATTTCTAGGCAGTGTTATTATGCATTAATTCGTGAAATATTTTGATCTGCAGGTCACTATGTTCCTCAGCTCTCCCAGCTCGTGTACAGGAACAACATTGGCGTAGAGAAGCCTTCCATTAACTTCAAAGGTTTCATGGTACAGATATGCGGCGCATGCTTAAAAATCGAATCCACACATCCGTTTCATATATCAGAATTTGAACCGAATGGACAAACACACCTGCACAGCACGTATAAAATAAACAAAAAAAAAATGCACATCTTAGTATCTTACTATCAGTAGTTGAAGGCTCTCAACGGAGCCTTCACTAATGGATTTATTCTGTTTTAGAAACTAAGGCATTATCAAACGAATCCATATGCCTTCAGTGGAGACTTCACGTTAATCCTCAAATTAAACGATGCGTTGAAAAAAAAAGATATATCCTAAATCATCAAAAAATCAGAAAGTTCGAATCACAATTAGTAGACTCCAGTCACAGTTATAGTGATGATAATAACAATTGACTTTATTCTGTGTTTAAAAAATAAGTGGTCCCTTTCCATTATGAAAGAATATGTATAAGATAAGCCACTGATTAACTATATATCTAAATTATATATCCATGATTCCACGTATGCTGCTATATTTACATGCTTATAAATCATATAAATTAGATCTAAATTACCACTTGTGCTGTTATTAAATTTGAACTAAAATATCTTCTTAAGATTTGATGTAAATTTCCAATAGATGCTATTATGAAAAATGTTTAAGTAACTATAAATTATGCCTATATATTCTAATAAATTACCCACTTCTATTACTATTAATCCTATATAAATAATCAACGTAAAACAAACATAATAATATTGTACCATCATGCATACAGGTCATGTATAAATGAATACATCATGAGAGGAATATATACATCATCTGGAAAAGGTTCCCTTAACGACTCATAACCTAGCTATACTAATGTCTAAAAGGTATTTAAAATTATTTTAACATCCAGTAAAATAATTTAAAAATATTGTTACCTTAGATAAAAATAATTATAAATTAAATATTATGACATATCTATTTATAATATAATTGTAACAGCGTTATTTTTTAGTTATTAAAAAATACTACTAAACAAGTAACTGATAAGGCAAGTGTTAGTGGCATGACACAGTAACCGACTATCACATCAGTTGTTGTGTTGGCAACTGTGACAATAGGTTTCATCCGGATAAAACTGTCTCTATCTCACTTCATAATTAACATGTCAGGTCATTAAATTTGCTGATGTGTTATAATATTAAATATAGATGAAGCCTGAGATTGGCCTAAGAAAAACTGATATATATTTACCAGTGGATCGAGGAGGTTAGTGTAATAATTAGATAATAATTAATTATTCCAGGTGGGAAACGGTCTGACCAACGACCGCACTGGCATGATCGGCATGTTCGAGTTCTGGTGGCACCACGGCCTCATCTCCGACGAGACCCTGGACAGCGGCCTGAAGGTTTGCCCGGGGAGTTCCTTCATCCACATGGAGCCGGAGTGCCAGAAGATCTGGGACAAGGCCGTCGAGGAGCAAGGCAACATCGACGGCTACAGCATCTACACGCCGCCGTGCGACAAGGGGAGCCCGTACACTTCCTTCTGAGTCCTATTTATTTGACCCATGCATGCATCAGTTCGTTCCGCTTCAGTTTTCTTTCACACTTGTTTGTGTATGTACTGAACTCATTCATTGTCACGAGCGAAAGCCATAATGTTATTTGTGTTGCAGCGATCCCTTATATTACAACTGGACAGACACACCCGCTTCCATGCTACCCATCTACAAGGAGCTCATTGGAGCTGTGGCCTCAAGGTCTGGGTCTTCATCAGGTAATTAATCGATCAGTAAGCTGCCTGCATATACTACCTAGCTAGTGTCGCTTTGATTTCTTCGAAGAGATGAGTTCTTGCTGCTCTGATTTTGTATACAAGAAATCAGAGTACATGATGTTTTTTCATTTGCAGTGGTGACACAGACACTGCAGTGCCACTGAGTGGGACCAGGCGCTCTCTTGCTGCCCTCGGACTTCCTGTAAAAACAAGCTGGTACCCCTGGCACATGGTCTCAACCGAGGTCAGTACTGACTACAGAGAACAGGAGAAAACACACACCAAGCTCCATATCTTTGAATCCTTTTTTTTTCGAAGCTCTCAATCCTTTGTTTCTTGCCGCGATACAGTTTTCTTTTCCTCCATGGCCAATATACATGCATGCTTGTGATATGAAATATAGGTTGGCGGCTGGAGCATGGAGTATGAAGGTCTGACCTACGTCACCGTCTGCGGTGCTGGGCATGAGGTTCCCCTGCACCGTCCGGAGCAGGCGTTCTTCTTGTTCAAGCAATTCTTGCAGGGCGACCCCATGCCGGCCGAGGCAAGTTTTAATTACTTTCGCCACACATTGATCCGAAACATAACTTGCTTATGGAATCTGTAAACTAACAACTGATGCCATCAACTCCACATATATGTGCATTAATTGGTCTCTGAAGAAGGATAGGATGTTCATTTTGCAGGCAAAAGATGCCAGCGTCATACTCCTTCCTACTGAGAAATAAGGCTGCCTCCGACTGAGCAGGGAGCAGCACAGGATGGGGAGGCTCGCGCTGTCATGCTTGATGACAACGATTGATTCCACTACGATCGCTGAATAATGCTGCATTATGTCTGTGTTGTTGATATGTACATGTACACGGAGAATAAATAGAGCTGGAGCCCGAAAAGCTATGAATAATGTACAAACCATTGGCTTGGCGGTGGCCGATGGATGGCCACTACTAAAAAAGCATCTCTAGATCGAAATGTATTTGTACGGATGACTGGTATTTTACGGACAACTCAATCTAAAACCGCATCTAAAAACGGTTCCCAAAACGAGTCTCTAGAAATGTATTTGTAGAGGTGACTGTTATTTGGAGCCGCCTCTATAAATGACCATATTTATAGGAGCGGCTCTAGATCCAACCGCCACTACAACAAATCAATTTCTAGATACAGTTGGATCTAGAACCGCCTCTATAAATGGGTGCCGAAGAGTAAAATTACGTATTGAAATTCAATTTTTTTCAAATGACCTCGGATGGAAAAACGATCAAAATGAAAGTTGTAGATCTCAAGAAGTTAAATAACTTTGTAGTTGACAACTTTTTTATTTGTAATCACCTATCTAAGGAAAAATACATTTGAAATTTAAATTTTTCAAACGACCACGGATAGAGAAACAACCAAAACGAAAGTTGTAGATCTCTATAAGTTATACAACTTTGTAGTCGACAACTTTTTTATTAGAAATCATCTATTTAAGGAAAATAACCTTCAAATTTCTCACATTTGAAATTCGATATTTTCAAACGATCTCGGATGGAGATCTCGGATTTCAAACTCAATGAGAAAATTTTGAAATCATGACCAAAATCAATGTTGTAGATCTTGAAAAGTTATAAAACTTTGTATCATGACCAAAACCAATGTTGTAGATCTTGAAAAGTTATAAAACTTTGTAGTTGACAAGTTTTTCATTTAAATTTATTTAGTATCCTAAATACTCATTTTGAGATCAGATGAAAAAAAAATGAGGAGGACGAGTATTTCAAATAGACAGTGTTTCATGGGTAGAGTGAATAGGAGAGAAAAATGCGAGGTTAGAGGCCATGGGTTCAAACTCCCGTGGGCTCACTACCCGTATTTCATGCGGCATGTGCGCTGGTGGCTTTCTGGTGGGTCTCCCATATTTTTTTTTGCTATTTTTGGGCATAGATTTGTGATTTCTAAAAAAAATAATTTGTAGCGATGAGACATGCGTGGGTGGCTGACTGGTGGGGTCTCCCTAGAGTAATTTTTTTACTATTTTTGGGCCAAGATTTGCGATTTCTAAAAAACGATTTGCAGGGGCGCAACCGCCCCTACTAATTGCCTCTGCGGTAATGTGGATTCTTTCTCCCGAAAGCCATTTACATTTTTGTCGAAATGGCGGTCAGAGCATCGCCGCATATATTGTTGACCCTGTTTTTATAGCAAAACCAGGTAAAAAAAAAACGAACAACTACTTGGCTCGATGAGCCTGCACGACCCACTACTAGAAGTGCACCCAACTAAGAAAAGCGTCATGAATACATCTAGGAGCAGCAGGAGCTTGGGGATTCATTATCAGTGATCACAGTGGCAAGATGATTCTAGCTGGAGCGGGAACGTAAGTCCAGTGCATAATGCTTTAATGGCTGAAACAATGCCATGTGTGAAGATGCTGGAGGCAGCGGCAATGCAAGGTATCTCCTGGATTCAAATAGAAACGGATTGCAGCCAGCTACGTGAGGCGCTGATATCTAATGGGTGTGATTTAGAACCGAGCGGGATGCTCTTCAAGTATATCCGTGAGTTCTTAGGTGATCGTTTTAATAGTCACAAAATCACTAGTGTTCCACGTTCTTGTAACTTGTTTGCGCATGAGATTGCGAAGCTAGGCTTGGTGTGGGACACGGGTCAATCGATGTTATGGCCTGGTGATCCTCCTGACATTGTAAAGAATGTGGTAGCTCGCGGTTGTGCTGAGCTATCGATAAGTAATATAAGGCCCTAGAGCCGAGTTTGAGTTAAAAAAAAGAAAAGCATCATGCACTAAAACACCAGGGAAGAAATTGCCTGTTGGGAAGGAGGGTTCCCGATCGGGCGAAATGGGAGCTGAGGGCCTCCGGCATTGCCCGAAGACCCCTGAGTCAATATGCATGATTACCGAGACAAGGTAAATTTAGGGTTTTCAACCCCTGGAATGGCCTTCTTTTGTTGGGATCTGAGCCCCCTTTTATAGGGTGAGATCACTTGCTTACATGATTACATTAATGCCCTTTGCCAGCTAAGGCATATCCCATGGATATTCCCTACATCTATTTACATCCTAGGGGTACTATCGCCTATCTTCATTGGGAACCGTCTTTCCAAGATGGGCCCTTGTCGAGCCGAGCCGAGGCCCATTGCGCCACGACGCCACCGGTGGAGGCCTTCAGCTAGCCCTATCTCCGACCATCACTCCTATCTTCTCCTCATAGAAACCTCCGACGCCGACAGTAATGCCTTGGAACCTTGGCTTGCTCCTTCTCGCCTCGAGACCTTCGCGGAGTACTTCCGTGCACCCTGAGGTGCCTCTAGCTCTTCCGAAGGCTTCTTGCCAAGCTCGGCCTTCGACCGAAGGCCCGCCTCCGAGTGTGATTCCTAAAAACGCAGCAACGCTTTGCACAAGGGTTAGTGTTATATGGGGGAACCTTCGGGTGCCGGACCTCCATGTCCCAACAGTTCCCCCCTCGAGGGTCAGGTCTGACGCAGGCGGGCCTCAAGCCTCGAGCCTTCACAAGGGATGGTCCCCGAAGGTCCCCCCTTTCTCCCCCCGAGGCACGTCTGTGTTAGATCTTTGGGTTGTGACGTGTGTGATGCTGATTGGTTCACGCGGTTTGATAAGGAGGGGTGGAGGGGGCCTGTGGTCGTGCACACTGTCGCTTTCAGGCTAGCCACCGCTTGGTCTAGGGTTTTTGGTTTGCCTTCATTCTACTCTCTATTCTCGGCGGTGGCATCACGGCCCGTATCGCCATCTGGCTGTTGTTGGACCCCGTAGGTGGCTGTAGTTTTACGAGCAGTCTATGATGGCCAGCGCCAGAGCTCGTGATGCTGAGGAGGATTTGTAGAGTGTTGACGTAAGCCTGAGGGATTTGGTCCGGGGTGGAGGGGAGAAGGTGGAACTCGCGAAGACTTGGGATTTTGGGACGTCTCTGGTGACTGAGGAAATGATTATAGAATATGTTGGTCTTGGAGATTTTGCGGCGGGCAGGGCTAGACCTCCGAGTGATGAGACCGTTCCTAGGCCGGAGACCAATGAGGCGGTGGTCTTCAAGGATTTTTTTTGTCTGTGGCCTTGGCATTCCGTCTGTGGTTTTCATGAGGCTTGTGCTTGAATCGTTTTGCTTCCAGCTCCATCACTTGACTCCGAACGGCATACTGGCGTTGTCTAAGTTTTGTTGGGCGTGTGAATCTTATGGGGCCGAACCCGATTTGGATAGCTTTTGTGCACACTATGAGCTGCAGCGGCAGCCAAAGAAGGTTACCATCTCCGGTGTGCAGTATGAGGCGCAGTTCGGGAGCTGCGCTTTCATGTCGAACAGGCCTTCGAAGAAGGAGGAAAGGCAGGAGATATCCTTCGCTCAGCGGAACCGGTGGCCCAACGACTGGACGCGATATTGGTTCTATGTGAAGGTCCCAGCACTGAACACTAAGGACAAGCATGGGAACAAGGCTATCCGTTTCCTCTTGCCTCCGTCATGGAAGAGATGAGGCCGCTGACTCGGGTGCCTGTTGAAGTCGATGAAGCCCGTGAGGCCTGTGACAAGGCCTTCGATTATGCTGTTCGGTATAGCAGAGGCCGGGACCTTGTCGAGGAATTTGTGGCCGCCGAGTTTTGGCCTCTTGGCAGATTTACTAGGCCGGCAGCAATGACCATCAAGAAGGTAAGTCTCCCCATTTTCGGTGAAGAAGGCGGTGTGCCGTTCTCCCGCTTTGGCTTACAGTGCGCCGAAGGTGAGACTGATTCTCAAATTATTGCCCGCGTTGAGGCTGCGGCCGTGGATATTATCGGGGATATGTCAGAGCGGGAGTATCTGGCACGTGCTGCTATCGGAGGTGAGATGCCCCGCCTGAACCGGGTCTTTGAGGAATTGAAGGTCAGATATGGAGACCGGGTAGTTCCAGAGAAGATTCTGAAATCCATTCAGGAGAAGGTCGCGAAGGCTGTGGTTGCCAAAAATGCCACCGGTCGGGCCAAATCTAAGAAACGGAAAGCTGCTGCGGTGACAAAGCTTCAGACAAAGAGGCAGAAGGCTGCTGACGGGGTGTCGTCTAGGACTGCCATTGGTAAGGCGACTGTTGCGGTGGCGAAGGCCTCTGTCGCTCCCCAGCCCTTGGAGACTAGAGCGGAGGTCGACGCTGCTGCGGTTGTGGCTGGTAAGGCTATTGCAAGCGGTCCTGTTCTAGCGCCACTTCCGTCTATGTTCGCTTCAGGCGCCGATGTCTTCAGCTCCGACGAAGAGGAAGAGGGCGGAGATGTTGAAGAATCTGCTGCATCTAACACGGGCGAGGCACTGTCCAAGCGGCGGACTCGCATCGTGAAGGCCTCTCGCTTGGAGGAGAGCGAAGCGGAGTCCGTGGAACCGGCCCCGTCGGCGAAGGCTCCGCAAGCGGAGGTCATTGGCGCCGAAGACGTTGCTGATGGCAACTCGAGTCAAGGTAGCAAGTCATCAAGTTTTGGTGATGTTTCTGGTGGGCTTCTAGGCGCGGGAGGGTGTCTGATTCACTGGCTTGTTCAGGAGATGGCTCGAAGGTTTCTCGAAACGGTGCTGGGGGTGCCACCGCTGACGTTGCCGGTGATCCACGGTTGACGCCGAGGTGCAACATTGTCTT